AAGATTACTGCAAGGAAACAAATATTATACGAAAGACACTACATGAAAAAATGAAAATAGAAAGGCAAGCTGGCAAATATGCGTATATTTCATACGACAAACTTATTGTTCGCGATTGGAATTCCAATAAAAAGTAATATATTATCTTTTAAATTTTTATTATATTTTTACATAAACTTATTTGCTTTTATTAATTATGGCATCAGTAAACGATTTTGAAACTTTTACTTTTTACGATAATGTTTTTTCATTGCGCGAAAACATTAACAAAGACATTAACTATTTTCATGAAATTAACAAAGAATGTGCTTATTACTATCCGTGGGAAGTAGAAGGGTTTCTATTTAACAATATTTGCAATAAAAACTTATATCAAATTAGAATGCTACACGTTAATATTCGAAGCATAAATTGCAATTTTGAAAAACTTCAAAATTTACTTAAAGAAACAAAAAACACTTTTAATATAATTTGTTTAACTGAAACTTGGGCTACTGCAAACGATTTAATTGATGACTCTAATTTTCATCTTCCTCATTTTGAAATAATCTCACTTGAAAGGCAAACTAATAAGCGCGGTGGCGGAGTTCTAATTTACGTTCATGAAAATATTAGGCATTGTCTAAGAAACGATCTTAGTATTTCTAACGGCGATGGAGAACTCTTAACCATTGAAATAATAATTGAACAAACAAAAAACATTCTTCTAAGCTGCTGTTATCGACCACCTGATGGTGTGGCCGATAACTTGAGCATGTTTTTACTACAAAACGTTTTTAAAGAAGGAAATAATAAAAATAAAAAATTTTTTCTCATTGGAGACTTTAATATGAATTGTTTTATATATAATGATAACAACAAAGTTAGAAAATTTTATGATTCAATTTTTGAGGCTGGAGCTTTTCCATTAATAAATCGCCCGACGAGAGTGACAAAATACTCAGCAACTTTACTAGACAATATCATTACAACAGACATCTTTAATAATGATATAAAAAAAGGAATCTTAAAAACAGATATCTCGGATCACTTTCCTATTTTTCTGACTATACCCACTAACCAAGCAAATGTAAAAAAACCTAACAAAATCTTAACTAAACGTATTTTTAATCAATCAAAAATTGAATTGTTTAAAAACCAACTATCGCTACTGCATTGGAAACATTTAAACTTTAATGATAACGCTAATAATCTTTTTGAAAATTTCTTTAAAACATTTTTTTCGGTTTACGATGCTAACTTTCCTAATGTTACTCATACATCAAAAACTAAAAACATAAATAATCCTTGGGTTACCAAAGGTTTCAAAAAATCATCAAAAACTAAGCAAAAGTTATATATAAAATACCTAAAAACAAAAACTCCAACAAGCGAAAAAAAATACAAAGAATATAAAAATTTATTTGAAAAAATCCGGAAAAGTTTAAAAAAAAACTACTATTCAAATTTGATTAATGAAACAAAAAATAACCTAAAACGCACTTGGCAAATACTAAAAGAAATAATTGGGAAACAAAAAACATGCTCAAGTTTTTTACCACACATGCTTAAAATCGATAACAAAATTTTATACAATCCACAAATTATAGCTAATGAGTTTAATAAATATTTTGTTGAAATTGGTCCAACCCTATCAGATAAAATTCCAATTACCAAAACTTCTTTTCATGATTTTTTAGCACCTCTTGATAAAGGCATTTGCTCAGATGAACTATCGTCCGAATTATCCTTTGAAGAGTTTGAAAAAGCTTTTAAAACCTTAAAAAAAAATAAAGCAACTGGGCCTGATGAAATAAACGGAAATATAGTTATAGATTGCTATGAACAAATTAAAAATATTCTTTTTAAAATCTACAAAGCATCCATCCAACAAGGAATTTTCCCTGAGCGCTAAAATTATTCCAATTCACAAAGAAGGCGACAGATCCAATATCAATAATTACCGCCCCATTTCTATCCTATCTGTATTCTCCAAAATCCTAGAAAGAATTATGTTTAACAGAGTTAATAATTATTTTAATTACAATAACCTACTATACAATAATCAGTTCGGCTTCAAAAAAGATAGTTCAACTGAGCATGCCATTATTCAATTTGTACGCAACATCTCCAAATCCTTTGAAAAAGCTCAATATACATTAGGTATTTTTATAGATCTATCAAAAGCATTTGATACGGTTGACCATAATATTTTAATACAAAAAATGAAATATTACGGTTTAAACAATAATACTTTAGCGTGGTTTAAAAGCTATTTAACAAATCGTAAGCAAGTAGTCTATAGTAATAATGACGTTCAAAGTGGATCCTTAAATATAACCTGTGGTGTTCCACAATTTCTATTCTTTCTATTCTTGGACCACTGCTATTTCTTATATATGTCAATGATCTAAACAAAGCCTCTAACCTGATGAGTATTATTTATGCCGATGACACTAACTTATTTCAATCCCACACTGATGTTTACAAACTTTTCTTAAAAACTAATAATGAACTTATAAACATTTCTAAATGGTTTAAATGTAATAAATTAACGTTAAATACTAACAAGACTAAGTGGATTCTTTTTCATTCCTTCTCAAAAAAACGTTCTTTACCAGATATTATGCCTCAAATTTATATTGATGAAACTCTAATAAAAAGAGATTCTGTTATAAGATTCCTAGGTGTTTATCTTGATGAGAATATTACTTGGAAAAACCATATTAATCATGTAACCACCAAGGTATCTAAAAACATTGGCATTTTGTATAAAGCCCGACCTTACTTAAGCAAAAAAAGCCTTACGCAGCTCTATTACTCATTCATACACAGCTATATAAACTACGCAAATATTGCATGGGGTAGTACCGAAAAAAGTAAACTACAACGTCTATATCGCCAACAGAAACATGCGATTCGCGTGATTAATTATGTGGATCGCTCTACACATTCAAAGCCTTTCTTTGATGAAATGAAAATACTTAATGTCTACAAACTTAATGTTTTCAATGTTTTATGTTTTACTTATATGTGGAAAAACAAATTATCCCTACCTGTTTTTAACGACCTTTTTACGTTAAAACTTACTAATAAGTACTCACTAAGAAATAAAGATTTGCTAAATGAACCATTTTGTAGAACAAATTTTAATAAATTCTGTATTAATTATAGAGCACCTTACCTTTGGAATAAAATAGTTCTGCCTAATTTTGATCCTTTTATCCGTTTTTCTGTTTTTAAAAATGAATTAAAAAAATTCATTCTTGCTATGGATGACATTTTAAGTTACTATTAGCTTGAAGTATAAACTTGATTTATGAGATTTATAATAATATTTATATTAATAAATTTATTTTCTTTAATTTATATCAGATCTATAAAATTTATTATTATGGATTTTTATAACAAATTTGTGAGAATTATTATTACAGATACGTGATTAATATTATGAATTTATTATTATATATTTATTATTACGGCCGTTTTTGGATTTATATTTTCAGTTTTATGGTATGATAAAATTGTAAAGGTTCTGATGATAAGATCAGTAGATCTTCTTCCAGAAGCCTTGTTTTCTTTGTTCTTGTAAAATATAGTATTTATTTTACGGCAAATGTAAACAGAAAAAAAAAAAAAAAAAAATATATATATATATATATATATATATATATATATATATATATATATATATACATATATATATGCAATAGAAATATAGATTTGCAATCTATCAAAGGACTATATAATTTCTTTATTAATAAGTATAATCTATTCACTTTAATAAAATTTCCTAGATGATAAAAAAAAAATAAGGAGAAATTAAGGAGAGTTTCTCATCGGTTACTCAGGGCACGACAAATCGACGAACGTGCGAACGTTTGTTAAAAAAAAGACAGAAAAACGAACGTCACGTTTCCTTACTTTAACTTAAGCAAACGTTGGCGTTCGCTTAAATTTTTTAAAAACGAACGCATATCTTCAGCAATTTTTTATTTCCAAATAATTATGCGATTGATAGTTTTTATTTATTATAAAAAAAAACATAAATAATATTAAAAAAAAATAAGTTACTAAAATTTAAAACGCAGTTTCAATGACATTAAAAGAAACCGCGCTAATACTTTCTTCAATAGCGTTTCTTTTAAGTATGCAACTGTAGAAAAAATTATATTTACCATGTTTTTACATGCATTAACAAAAGAATGGCCAGTTTAATTTAAGATGAATGCATTTGCAATTACTTTAAACGGAACCATGCTAAAACATTCTTTTTCCAAAGCCGTGCTTTTTTAAAATTTTCTTATTATCTTTAAATTAATGTTTATTTGCTGTTTTTAAAGTTTTAAAAAAAATTTGCAGAAATATATAAAATTTGATAGATTTTATTGAACTATTATGTTGATTATAGTTTTCATTTTTTACTGTACGTCTAACAACAACCAATAATAAATTTTTTTTTTTTTTTTTTTTTTTTTTAAAATACTTAATATTATAAATATAATAATAGCATATCAGTGGCGGATTATCAAATTATGGGCCTATAGGCTTAACTAATTCATGGGCCCTATATACCTATATTTTTCTAAAAAATACGTCAAAAAGTACAATTTTAATTTTATTTATAATAATAATATCTATAATAAAATATAATTTTATTTCAAAATTACAAACAAATTATCAGGTATATTAGATACTAGCAGTGGCGGATTTAGTATAGGGCGTGGGGGGGGGGGCGAGCTGCCCCCCACGCCCCTCTAAAACGGTCTAACGGCGCCCCCTAAAAACAATTAAAATATATATATATATAAGGTTAAACTACTGAAGGCAACCCCGGTCGCCCCTATTTATTGACTTGCCCCCCCCCCCCCCCCGCGACGCTAAACCTCAATCCGCCACTGGATACTAGTATATATTTTATAAATGGCTGACCCAAAGAAAAAAACAACACGATCAAAAATTCATTTTTCTGCATTTTCGTTCAACAAAGTCTGATAAAATTTCATTGAAGTCACAGCTTCTTAGGATGTCAGATTACACATAACAGTAAGGGAATTCAGTTTGTCATCACCCAAAGCACTTCGCAGATAGTTTTTTATCCGTTTCAATGCAGAGAATGATCTTTCATCACTGCAGTTGGTGATCATTAAACTGAGGTATATGTGAAGTGCTGTGGTAACATTTGGAAATATATCTTGTAGTGCACTGCTGTTTCTCAAAACCCGATACATATACAGCTCTATGCTACATTTCAGTTCTTTCTCATTCTGTTGCAAGTACGTATCAGCTAACAAATATTCTTTGAAGTGAAGTATTTCATCTTCAAATGACTCTTCCAAATCATCTACATAAGTATCTATCAATTTTCTACTGGCTCTTCGCAAATCAGACTGTTCCAGTGATCGAATGTTTCTCAGAAAACCAAACTTATCATATACACCACTGTATGCCTCTGATCGTTTACATAATGCTGAATTCAAGTGATCAAGTACTGGCAAGAAAACCATGACTCGAAATTTCTGCTGTGCCGAAAACACTGTTTCATCAGCTGATCCATCATGACGGGTTAATTGAACACTTCGCTTTCGTTTCCTCTGATTCTCTTCTTTATAAAAAGTTGACCCTGTTATTTCCTTTCCTTTCTTCTCAAAGAAATCAAACTGTGCTCGAAGTGAATTTACATATTCTTTTAGTGAAGTTAACAGTTGAACAGCCTCATTTAGATCAAGTTGTGGACTTTGCAGTTTTAAACTGGTCTTATGAAAGCGATCTAATATGGGTGTTCAGAGTTCTAATAAAATTCCATATTCTAACTGATCCATCTTCCTTGCAATTCCTGCAGCTGTAGTGCGAGCTTCAACCTTCTCCTCGGGGTCCTCAGCAATGTTCTCTAACACTGTCTTAACATTTTTAGAACTAACTGGTTACTGTTCAATCCTTTAGTTAGAAGCTCCCACCGTTGGGTTGATGCATTTGAAAAGACATACAAGTTTTGTACAAAATCAAAAAATCCACTCACTGTTGTCACGCAGTTTACAGCTGATGCACCGACTAAATTAAGGGAGTGTGCAAAACATGGCACATATTCAGCCAATGGGTTCTTCTCTCGAATGCGTGCCTGTAACCCTGAATATTTTCCTGCCATATTGCTAGCATTATCGTAGGACTGACCTCGGCAATATTTTATATCCAACAAATCTTCTGCCCCATGTCCTTTCATGCTTAAAAATTGCACAAACCTTTCTATAGGGCCATTGTTCAAAACATATCGAAAGACACATGACAGCCTATCAACATGAGATATGTCTGGAGTAAAGTCAACAGAAATCGAATAAAATTTTGCTCCACGTATTTCAGACAATATTGTTTTCATAACTTGCTTTCCCATGACATCAATTAACTCATCACAAATTGTTGATGACAGGTATGAAACAGAGCCTTTCCCCTTACCACCATGGTTGTCAATATGACTGGAGAGGAATGGATCAAACTGAGCAATCAACTCCAAAATTCCCAAAAAATTGCCATTAGAACTTGACCCCAATATTTCAGTATGTCCTCTAAATGCGAGCCCTCTTTCAGCAAGGAATTTGATAACTGAGACAACTCTTTCTAGCACAGATTTTGCATATGCACATTCCTGTCTGTATTGCTCAACTATTGCTGAATCTACACATCCTCTGACTTGTACTCTTTGGCTGAATGTGATTGTTGCATTTCTATGTGCAATGCTGTTTTCATGTGACTGTATTCGTGAAGCTGCATTTTTCCAATCACAAAAACCATTCCTTGAGAATGAATTATCATCAGCAGAAAATAATTTACATACAAAGCAGTAAATGCGAGATGTTGCTGGTGAATAACACAACCATGACCTTGGGACTTTCTCACCATTGCGAGAATGAACACGATAAAAGAGATTCTGTGAGCAGTAGCGCTTCTGTTTTCCATCAATTTGCATTGAACTAGTGAAGTCAGTATTTGAATGTTGACAACATTCACTGCCACGAGTTACCCAAAAGTTACAGAATGTATCATTGATTTCCACTTCAGACCATTGCCCAATGTCAGTGGAAAAGGAATTGTCATCACCTTTGGAACCAGCTTGTGCTTCTGGTTTCTGAGAAAGTGTCTCCGCGTCTTCCATATCATCAGATTCAGAGTGAGAGATAGATTGAGTGCATACAGCTGCAACACTGTTATCACGTTCAAATTCATGACCAAATTGACCAGGCAAACCACACTGACCAACACATGGCAAAGGTGAATTCGATGGTGGGTCTTCTCTATTGACATTGACACTAATCGTAGGAAAAAGCTCAGTTATTTTAACAGTTTTTGAAATGACCGCTTCCTCACGTTTCTTTTTATCTTCACGGTCTTTAGCTTTTTGATACCCAGACTTGTGATGATATGCCATTATGACCTGAAATCGAAAAACATACAATGTAGATACTGCATTATTATATATATATATATATAACGGTATAACTAAAATATTACGGTATAATAGACTCAACATTTAAGAAAGCAATTTGTATTACTAGAAAAGTCATGAGCCCTCGATATTACGTGTGGAGTTCCTCAGGGTTCAATCCTAGGTCCATTATTGTTCTTAATTTATATTAACGATATGCATAAAGCATCCCAAAAAATATCTACAATTATGTATGCTGTCAGTAGTGTCAATTTGTTCAAGAATGCCATTCTCAGCATAACTGGGCTACAAAATTGATTTTTTTGGTTTAAAATTAATATTTGGTTCTGATAAAGCAAAATTTTGACTAAGACAGAGTAAAAAACAAACATTTGGGCAGCATAACTGGGCTACAAAATTGTTTTTTTAGTTTAAAAATAACATTTGGTTCTGATACATTCATTTATCCATGATACATACCTGATACATACATATCGATATTTGCTGTATAAAAAAATTTGCAATCATCTTCCGAACCGGACCCCTATGGCTGACGGGCCCCTAGGCTTCAGCCTACTCAGCCTAATGGATAATCCGCCACTGTAGCATATCAGGTATTTGATAGTAACTTATTAAATTAAAAATTTAATAGCTTATTAAATGCTTAATACTATATTATTATTTTTAAATATTTAAAAAATAAAAATATCAAAATAACTTTTATTTTATTTTTATATAGTTCTCTTTTATTTAAATTTTGTCAAGTTTATATCTTTTTTTTATAATTTAACAAACTAAATTGAGAAAAATTCACTATTTTGTATTAATAGATAACAGTTTACAGTGAAAAGTTTATTGCATATTAGTTATCATTAATTTGCGCTAGTGTTGCGAAGGTAAAATTTACCGGAAAATTTACCGCCTGGTAAATTTTAATTGAAAATTTACCGCCTGGTAAATTTTAAAAATTTTTTTCACTTATTTTTTTTTCTTTTTTTTTTTTTTTGATTTTTTAAAGGAAAATTTACTGTTCTCTAATTAAAATTTACCGGTAAATTTACCGGTAAATTTTACCGGTAAATTTTGAATCAAATTTTACTGGAAAATTTACATCGCTAATTTGCGCACACTTTGCAAACGCGTGAAAAATTGTTTTAAATTAATAAAAATTGATAAAATTCGATGAGTATCTTTGATATATCTAATTATTATATATCTTATTAACTAGAATAAAATTAATTTGAAAATAAAACTCCCTTATAATTAAATAAAAAAATTATTCAAATTAAAAAAAAAAAATTTAAAGAAGTTCAAATGAAACTGGCTTATTCTGGCCGACACAAGGGTTCGAAGTGGAGGTGCGCAACCATCTATTAATGAAAAAAGTCCTCTATATCTTGAAATTTTCTTAAATAAAAAAAAATATAAAAATTAATTTAATTTAATTAATTAATTTAATTAAAAATTATAAAAAAGTGTGTATGTGTGGAGGGGGGAGGGATGGATATTTGACATACCTCTTAAATTAGACGTTCGTCAATAAATAAAGAAACAAGTGATATAGTGGTTATTCATATGTTAGCCACTTTTGGCTGCTGCCACTAATGGACCATAAATGATTACCAAAACTGCAATTAATAAATGATTACATTATATAATGAAACAAATGATTAATTATATATGATTACATTATATAATGATATGAATGATTACATTATATAATGAAACAAATAAATGATTACCAAAACTGCAATTACCTAAAATGCCTATATAGATTCACTGAAATTCTGATTTAAATGTTTTTGCTGTGTTATATATTTTTTACTAAATACTAAAACTAAAACCATAAATTTTCAAAAAGTCATTATAAAAAAATCATTTCAAAAAATATTAAATCAATTCCATCTTTAAATATTTTTCTTATTCTTATTTAAGTTGGATAAGTTACTAAATAATAAATTTTATCAAATAATAAATATAAATACTGATTTTAATTAAAATTATTTTAATTGAACTTTAAAAGAATGATAAAAGAGAAAAATTATTTACATCTATCGTCTAAAGGATACTTTTAGAAAATCAGATAATTAAAGAATAGGATATGTCACTAAAAAATGTCTAATTAAAAAAATTAAACAAGTCGTAACAGTTATAGTTAGAGACAGGTGGGTAGAAAATTTCCTTTAGTGTAAAAGAAATTTTCTACCCTCCTGTCTCTTATATAACTGTTACGACTGGTTTAATTTTTTCAATTAGACTTATTTTTTAGTGAAAACTTTTGAACTTCAATAATAACTAATTACTAAAGTTAAGTAATTAGTTATTAGCGAAGTTCAAACCTTGATATTGTGATATTTCAAAAAGTTCATTAACTAATGTACTGGTCCAATTATTTTGAATAATTTACTGGTCCAATTATTTCGAATAATTTACTGATCCAATTATTTTGAATCTAAAAGTTGTTAATTAAAGATATTGAATTATATTGAATTATCAGCATAAACTCTCTGTCTTATTAATAGATTTTACTTTTGAAAAATATGACTAAGCATGATATTCTGCAAAGTCTAAGTCTTTCAAACAGTCAAAACTTAGTTCTTGATATAGTATATCAATTATTATACTTGAAATACTATATCAAGTGCTAATTATATACTTAGTATAAATATAGTATATCTTATACCCAGTTTTTAACTATTTCTTTCAATATCTGTATCAATTTCAATATCTGTATCAATATTAGCAAGTAATTATATGTGTAAAAGTTTATATATATAAATTAGCAAAAACCTGTCTATAAATTGCTTTTCATTAGGTGTTTTTAAAATTCTCCTTGCATCTTTGGGATGCTCCAAACCTTGATTTGGCAATATTTCAAGAAGATTATTAACTAATGTACTGGTCCCATTATAGAATAGCACAATGTTGTCGAGTAAAGACATTGAATTCAAAGAATTATCAGGATAATTGTTCTATGTATCATTAACAGGTTTTCCTATTGAAAAATTCGATTCTGCATGAGATGTCTAAACCTTTGAAATTGTTTTCTACAAAATCTTGTAATACTCTATAGATTAAAATGAGTGAAGATAATTCTTTTCTAAATTTTGAGCATTTATTAGGTATGAAATTTTTCTTTACCTTTTTTTTTGTAAAATATATGATGCCGAAATAAGAATATACTTATTTCTTTTCAATCTTTTTTTTTTTTAATAATTAAAAGTGTATTATAAACGTTTACCAAGTTTAGAATGTAAATTTAGAACATTGCTCTTGAAATAAATTTATTTACTGAAATGTGTATGCAACTATCTATTTTAATCAAATATGTATCAAGTTTAGAAAGTACAGTTTAGTTTCTTGTATGAAATGTATAAAATAATATAATGAAAATTCATTCAAAAAAACCATTTGGTATGTTGTATACTAGATAATATACTTGAAAACCTGGTAAATATAGCTTTGTTTGTTTGTTTAAAAATAGATGCACAGCAAATTGGTGCACAACCAAACACTGCTGAAGCTTTAAAACAGAAAATAAGTACATATTGCCAATATTATTGGCCACATATGTAAATGCAAAAATAAAAGAGCAAAATGTTTCACAGAGTGCATTATGGTGTAACTTTCAATTTAAAAACGGAAAAAATGCTAAAGGTTTGCAATGTTAAATAATTTTTTTTAATGTTTTTTACAATACTTGCTTTTTAATTTACTGCATGTGAAGTAAACATTTTTATAGAAGAAAGTGTTCCCAATGAAAAACATGTCCAAAATGATATAAGGCATATGCTATATATATATCTAATATCATTTTAGTGTTATGTTATTTATTTAAAAAAGATTCTGTGTAGAAAGTTTCTTATTTTTTATATGAGATTTTTTGCTGTTTGTTATTGAATTTCATGACAAATTAAAATTATTCTTTAGATTTAGTTAAAATCATTATTTTTGCCCTCATTTTTAACTAGTGGTTACACTGGCTGAGCTAAATTTGTGTTCTGTTTTAACCACGCTAAACACAAAATAACAATTGTGATTTATACCTTCAGGAAAAGTCAAAGCAAAAGTGTCTTTTTTAACTGGTTTAGTAAAAATTAGGGAATTTGCTTAGTGGTCAGGGAAAACAGTTGCTTTTTTTCTTAGTGACTAGGAGAATAATAAAATATTTCTAGTTCTAAATTTCTTTTTCTTTTTTTTCTTTTTTTTTTAACCTAGGATTGTAATAAACTGTAAATGTTTTTTAGGATTTGTCAATGAAGTCTTGAAATGTCAAATGTTGATTATGTTTAAGTTTAATCATTTTTTATATAAATTATTTTATTATTGTTTTTAAAATTTTCTTTTTATGTATAAGTTTTAATAATAAACTACCTAATGTTTGTTAAAAATTATAAAAAAATTCTTTTTTAAATTATTATTTTAAATAATTGTAAATATTAATGCTAAATATTTTCAATTATTTAAAATAAGAAATCTTATTTTTAACATTTATTTCAATTTTTTAAAGCTTTCGCTTTTCTAATTCTTTTTTTGTACCAAATATTTTAACGTGGCAAAAACTTGGCTATTTCTTTTCTTTATAAACTAATTGATTTTCATGATATAGTTATAGAAATGTAAAACTTTAGAAAAATTTTGTCATTAAAAAGACTTTTTTAATTAGTTGTTGTGAAGTGTAAATAAATAAAAACCTTTAATTAAAAAGCATACTTGATCAGTCAAATATAGGATACCAAGAAATTTCATTGCCCTGCCATAGTTTCTATGAAATAAGTTTTTCAGAATTACAAACAAACATAAATTTATAATTACTATTAATATTTTAACTATAGGGTGGCACTACTCTAAACAAATTTATCAATAGTAGTCATCCTGTTGTAATGACTACAACAATAAACTCTCTAAGGAGTGTGTATTTATCAAGATATTTATACATATAGAGATGTGCTGAGTACCTGACTATCTAGTGGTCTGGTAAAAATGGGCTAATTTGGCTTATTTGTAAATTTTAGAAAAGCTTCTTGAATATTAGTAATTAAAATGTATTTGCTATACCTAAACTGTATTATCTTTTGCTTTTTTTTTTTTTTTTAGGAAAAATCAAGAGGCTTGTGCTTTTTTTTTCTGTTTGTAACTCTAAATTAATTATTAATTTGTTTTTAAAGGAAATTTGTTAGAAGACTTGTTTTTATTCTTCTATCAAGTTTACGGTTACATTAGTCTTGTCTCTAAAAAATCTTTGTATTTTTTTTTATACTAAAGTACAAATAAAGAGCTTAGTGCTAAAAGTACTCAAGTCACAAAATAAATCTTTTGAGGAAATATATTTTGATCAGAAACACTTCAAAATAAGGATTTAAAATGACTGATCAAAACAGATTTTCTTAAATCATTTATTTTGTGATTTAAATACTTTTACCACTTAGCTCTTCAAATATATGTATTTGTATTAGGAAAGAGGTTGTCCATAAAGTATGTACGCTTATATTTTGAGTACCCTTCACCTTTCTAAAAGTACCTACGCTTTTAACCTACCTACCCAAGGTTTTATGATATTTTTGTTTAGTGTCTTCAGGGCTTGTGATGAATCGAGCGCGATCGCGCTCCGCTCGTGAAACGCGCCCGTACATGGTATTTTGAAACGTTCCAGGCGCGATAAACAACGCTCGTTCAGCTTATAACGAGCGTATAAAATAACGCTCGTCCAAGAGTTCGGGGCAAAACAAATAATAACTTTTTTTTTTATTTTCATAAAATATGAAAAAAAGATTTTTTAATAAAGATTTTATATTATCAAAGCACTAATATAATATAAAATAAAAAAAGCACTTCGTCGTTCTTTTTTGCACTAACCTAATGAATGAGCGGTTTGAAGTCGTTAATAGGCACTAATTTCATTGATGGAATGTGCATGCAGAAATTCAATGCAAATACAAAAATGCACAAATAAAATAATAAAAAATTAGTAAATCATTATAAGAAAATTGAAACTGCAGAATATTTTTAATCTTGTGAATACATCAAGTAAGATTTATTTGATTTATTGTTTGTAATATTCCATACATCGTTTATAATAAAAATAAATAATAATGATTCAGTAATTTTTTAAATTAGTTTTTGTTTATAGTATAAGTTTTTTATTAACTATTATTTATTTTAACTCAAATTTAAAACGATTCTGTTGTTTAGAATGTCCGCAATCAATGACATTCCAAAAGGAAACAAAGTAATGTTGTCAACATTTATTAAATGAAAAGTTCAAGAGGTAATAGGCTTTAGAACTGAAGTTACCAGATATGAGTGACGAATTAGCTGCATTCAGTTTCCAAAATGTAGAAGAGGAAACACCGTTGACAACAGTTGAGGGGAAAATCTGTCATTTAACCTATAATAAATAGTTTAAAAAAAAAAGATTTTCAAACTTTCTTGGGTTATTTTTTTAAGATAAAAAAATCGTAATTTAAAAAAGAAATTTTAGAAATAAATTAATTTGAATAAAAAATATCAAGAAACAAAAAAAACAACGAAACAAAAAAAGGCACTAAATTATAAAAAAGTCACTAAATTATACTTCAATACTAAATCAACAAGAAGTTGCGTTTTTGTTTGATATATTTTTTTTATAACATAATTAGTTAAAAAAAAATCCCGATCTGACAATATACAAGAGTCTTAATTCATGAGCGTGATACTAATTATAACATTTGTCGACGAAAGAATGATGTAACAAATAAAAAAAGATCTTCAGCAATTTTCATGATCGCGCTCGTCGACGTTATCTCGATCACGCTCGATGAAAATTGGGTTTTGAAGTGTTTTTTTCTTCCAAATTGTTTAACTTTTAAATGGACAAAAATTTTAACTTTTTAAAATTTAAATCTGCATGCCATATAAGCATACAAAAATTAAATAAGATTTTAAATAAACCTCTGTGCTCCCTTATCTGAGTGTGCATACTTTATTAATGATCCCAAAGTTCTGATTGCATTTCAAGTCAGGTGGGTTTCAAAATACTTTTTGTCCTTGTGTATAGTTGTTGAGAGCTTCCTCATTAGTCTTGGCAGAAATTGTGTATGGTTTCCACTCATAGGAAAATATAGCTTTGTAAGGGAGCGATGCTTTGTCACCTTTTTTTCTGGAAACCACGTTATACCAATATACTATTTTTAAAGGATTTTTGCTACTTCTGGCTGCCATACGCTTGATTGTGCGATGGTGACGTTCAACTATCCCATTTCCAGATGGCCCGTAAGCGCAAAAAAAAAAAAAAGATGGATATTTCCTATTTTGCGCACAATTCACCAATGATTTTTGAGCGAAAAGTCTTGCTGTTGTCAACCAGAACTTGCCAGTTAAACTGCTTGCATGGCACCACACTGTTGCTTCAAAAGTGTTTTTGACGTTCCATGTCCCATGAACAGGATCTTCCTCTGTAAGTCTTTATTTAAACTGCTTACTAATTTGACTACACGTTTGTCAAAAAAAAAAGTAAATCAAGTTCTTTTTTCATACGAATCTTGATATTTTGGTTGCCATAGAATTTTAATTTGACATATTGAATAGTTGTGTAATAACTGAAATTGCTTATATATAATGCTTTATACAATTTATTGTTTGAATAGATTAAATTATGCAAAGCTAAATTTCACTAAAAAAAAATAGTTTTTCTTCACAAAACATTAAGTTAAATCGAAATAACACGTTAAATTTAATAAAAATCATTGCGTAAAAATGCTTAAAATCTCCTGTTATTAAGTTTTAAACTTGTGTTTTTAAAATAAATTTTTTTTCAAAATATAAAAGCTCATAACTAGGTAAAATGCTCATAACTAAATGCCATTTCTTTTGATCTAAATCTCAATTCCCCACTCAAATAGTCAATTTTCCAACTCGCTTTCCAGACAACAAAAATCGTTTACCTTCTCTACTTGACTTATGTTTTGTTTCTGATCAGTGCTCAGTTTCTCCTCATTCACCCTTAGGTGCCTCTGATCACAGTTTGATCTCTCTAAAACTATTATCTCATTCTTCTTTTTATCAGAATCCCCCTATCATCGTGCATCTTACCACTACCTTGAAGCTGACTAGGATTTTTTCCGTGATTTTCTTTGTGATGGCCCTTGGGTAGAAAACTTTCGTCTTCCTGTTGACAAATGTGCTTCTTACATAACTTTGTGGGTTCAGGCTGGCATGGAATCCTTTATTTCCAATCGACAATTCCATGTCAAGTCTCACTCTTCTCCATGGTTTTCCTCACATTGTGCTGCTGCAATTGCCAATCGAAACTATTACTTCCATATCTATCAGCAAAACTTTTCATCGATATCATCTTTTGATATCCACTAGTTGCGATCTACCTGATATAGCCTTCAAACAGGTTGATCCATTGCTTGACATTTCGTCAGGTTAGAATTATTTTGTTCTATCTCCATATTTGAGAAAAATGAGTTAATACCAATTTCTTTTTTATTGTTAATTTTTCTTTTTAGCAGTATTACTTTTGAAATTAATTTTTTTTTTTTTAACAGGTGTATCCGAATGTTCTATTTGCAAAATATCAACAGTTTTTAATGTTATTTTGTTATATTTCCAACAACCAATAAAATTGCGTATAATTCACATTAAGTAATCAGTTCCTCTAATTTAATTTTAAAATGGCGGATGAAAATAGTGTATATCTTAGAGTAATAAACAAAAATATAGGTATTTTCTTATATATTCTAGTGTCAATCGGTTTTTTTTAGTTATTGTTCATAATTCTACATATTATTTTAGTAAATGTATCATCATCTAATTAAAAGCAGGTGGATTCTGTTGTATATGTGACATACAGTGTATATATATCATATAATATATATGGTTATTGTATATATATAACCATATATATAAATATACATACATATATGTCAAATATACAACAGAATTGGTTATATAATCCGTGATACACATATACTATATGTGTGTATATTTTTTATTTATGTATGTATATATTGTATGTGTATGTGACATATACAACAGTATATTAAATATCCTCACGTATTCCGTACGTCTTTGTTTATTTAGTATATACAACACGTTTTATATACTAAATAAATAAAGACTCAAATGAATTGTTTCATATATGGAAAAAATTTGTCTCTTCTTAAAATAATATATCTTCAAACATAAAATTATTTTGCATTGCATAACCTTTTTTATGTTTAATTTTTATTTTCAGATTACCCACAACAAGCTAATATCATGGTTACACCCTATGTTTCAATGCATCCTTTATATTCTGATCAACTGCGATTACCTCCACATGCTGGGAAAACAAGAAAACGTAAAGCAAACTGTTATAACTGGAAACAGTCAAAAAGAAAGCGACTTAGACAATCAGGAAAGGAATATATAAATGTTAGAGGCAAAGTTATTCAACCAAGAAGTATTAAAAATAAAAAAGATTGTAAAAATTGTTGCAAGTTTAAGTGTTTTGAGAAGATTTCAGAAGACGAGAGAAAAATATTATTTAATGGACTGTGGGGAATGTCTCAGATTGAAAAGCAACACTTTTTTAGTAAAACTACTGAACGATTAGATAAAAAAAGATCTCGAACCAATAAAGTAAGCAATTCAAGGAGAAAATATAATTATTTTTACAATTTCTTTGTTGATAATATCAACCATCGTGTATGTAAGGAGTTTTATTTGTCTACATTAGACATCAGCAGCAGGCAAATATCATACTATCATGAAAATAAACTTGAAACTGGTGTTTCTGCCCCAACAAAATGGGGGAAACATTGTAAAAAAAAAGTTCTTGAAATGACTAAACAGAGTATAGAAAACCATATCAACTTGTTTCCACGAGTTGAGTCACATTATTGTCAAAGCATTTCCTGCAAACAATACTTTGACGGGTCATTAAATTTGAAGAAACTTTATAATTTGTATTTATCATATTGCACTCAATATGAAGTTTCACGAGCAAAGGCATGTATGTACCGCAATGTTTTTAATACAAAATTTAATATTGAATTTCAAAAGCCGAAAAAGGATCTGTGTGATACATGCTACAAATTTCAAATTATTGAAGATGCAAATGAAGAGCAAATCCAAAAGTATAACAAGCATATTGCATCAAAGAATGAAACAAAAATTGAGAGAGATAAGGATCGAAAGTTGAACTCCCCTTCCACAACCATAGTTTGTATTGATCTACAAAATGTCTTGAGCTTGCCAAAAAGTAATGTGGGAAACTTCTTTTATAAAAGAAAGCTCAGCTGTTATAACTTAACAGGTCACTCTTCACTGAACAAAAAAGCATATTGTTTATTATGGCATGAAGGTATGTCAGGTCGTTCTGGTAATGACATTGCCAGTGCTGTGATATGTATGCTAAATAAAGTTTACAAGGATCTTCCTAATATTAATAAATTTATACTTTGGTTTGATTCTTGCGTTCCACAGAATAGAAACAGTCATATGTCAGCTGCATTGCGTGAGTTTCTTATTGATCATCCAAATATTGAAATCATTGAGCAAAAGTATTGTGAGCCAGGGCACAGCTCTATTCAGGAATGTGATAATATACATAGTCAGATTGAGAGATCATTACATTCAGCAGAAATATTTAGTCCTCTTGGGTTGGTGAAAGCAATGTTGAATGTTAACCAACGTAAACCATTTTTTGCATACCAAATGCAAAAAAGCGATATTAAAAATTTTTCAAAAATTGCTAGTCTTCTGAACTACACAAAATGTTCCATACTTTAATGTTAAAACGCTTGTATATAGGTTTAATGCTCCTGGTCATGTGTATTTCAAGACTCATTTTACAGATATTTATAAAGAGGCACGGCTGTCTAAGCCAAAAAACACACGATCATCAGGAAGTAATCTTGAAGAATCATCAATTCTATTGGCATCTTGTTTTCGACAAAATATTGAAATTTCTAGTTACAAGATAAAAGACATTGTTTCTATGTATCCTTACATGCCAGCTGTAGATGTTTGTTTCTATAAAACATTATTTCAGTAGTTGTTTTTTCAACTCTTTATCCGGATATACTTTATTTGTGTTATGCACTATTCAGTTTTATCTTGTATAAGGTTCATTTAAACTGTTCTTAACTTGTTATTTGTATTTATTTTTTATTTTCAATAAATCTTTTTAGATAAAAGTAATTTTATTATAAATAATATAGCTTTGGTTAAAATCAGTTTGTTAAAATTGAAGCTGCCCATCCTACCAGAAGCAATATATCTAGAAAACTTATTAAATGACCATATCCATTTAAATTTGCCAACTAAGTGTTTTAGGGTCTATATATGCTTTTAAATCCCTAAATTAAAAGTAATTTCTTGTAATCTATCAACTCCTCGCAAAACGTTCAAGTTGTATTTACTAAAAAATGGAGATAGCACAAAATAATATTAACACGAAGTTAAAATTTAAAAGTTATTTATCTCCAAACAGGGTGGGGCCATAATAGCGATTTGAGCAAAAAAAAAAATTTTCACAACAAATAATTATAATGAGCATATAGTCAAGTATTGAAAAACGTTTGCATTATTAAAAAATGTATTGCCACTTCTGCTGGATTGCAGTGTAAAACTTCAACTTGATTTATCTCAGTTTAAACAAATGGAGAGTTAGAACAAAATAATTTTAACCTGACGATTTGTATCATTCCAGCTTCTGTGTTTAACTATAACAGGTATGTTGTCCGGTCACAGCTTGTGATCCGGTCACAGCTTGTTCTACGACTGATTTGCTATCAGTAATAACTGATAGGTTTTAGCATGCATTAGATAAAGGTGGAGAGGTTAATTGCTCTTGACATTTCTATAGCGTTTGATAAAGTTTGGCATGCTTGTCTGCTCCGTGAGCTTTTTTCTTATGGTGTATCTTTAAAATTATTGAATCCTTTCTTTCCAATTGTAGCATAAAAGTTATCTTTGATGGACAGCACTCTTTTTCATATTCTGTAACCTCAGGGATTCCTCAAGGTTTAATCCTCGGCCCTATACTCCTTTTAATTTACATTAAAGATCTTCCAGATATTCTCACATCTAAGGTGTCATTTTTCTCTGATGATACTACCTTTTATTCTTGTCATGATAAAAAGCCAATACTTTCTGATTGCTTGGAGAGGGCATTTGAGCTTAAAAAGGATCTTGCTTCTGCTACAGCATGCGGCTCACAGTGGCTGGTGAACTTTTATTCAAATAAAACTCAATTTTTTTCAGATAATTGTTATCACAATGATTTAGACAGTCCTATATTTATGAACGGTAATGTCACTTGATGAGTCATCTACCCTTTATCTTCTAGAATTAACTCTTACTTTCAATCTTTCTCGGAAACTATATATCAAAATCTGCTTAAGTTGCATCTCTTTATCGAGCTCGACACTTACTTGCTCTGGATTCTATTATCTATCTCTATAAATCTCAAATCCGCCCTTGTATGGAATATTGTTGCCATATCTGAGGCGGATCTTCTAATGATGCCCTTTGTCTTTAAGACAAGGTGCAAAAACGCATTGTAAACATAGTTGGACCTGCTCTTGCAGCCAACCTCCAACCATTATCACTTTGTCATAATGTTGCTTCTCTTTCTCTTTTCTACAAATACTATAATGGGCACTGCTCTAAAAAGCTAGTATCTCTTGTGCCATCTACTAAAATTCATTCTCATGTGACTCATCATTTAATTAAGTCTCATCCTTTTTCTGTGACTGTTCCTAAGTGCTCCAAAAACTCCTATTCCTCTAGTTTTTTTCCTCTAACATCAATTGTTTTGAATTCGCTTCCTTCATCTTGCTTTCCTGATTCATATAATTTGCAGTCTTTTAAGTCGTCTGTCAATCGTTATCTTGCTCTACAATCTTCATCATTTCTCTTCTAGTAACTTCCAACTCTCTAATTAGTGGTTGCTTGCAGCCTTGTTGGAAGCAAAGATGTTTAAAAAAAAAGTTATTGATTCTATTATATTTCATTAAAAGAATCATATATTTAATTCAAGTTTTAAAATGTTTTTTTTATTATATTAAATTTTTTGTCATTTTTTTTAGTTAGACTTTAAAGTTCTGCCTGCTTCATTATTTATAATTTCTTATGGTTTGACTACTGTTGAAATATGGTTTTAATTTGGTAAATTTTGGTGTACTGAAATTTACTTTATTGATCATTAGCCAACAGTTTTGGCAATAAAATTGAATTCAACACCGTCAAGGTAAGAATAACTTTTTTTCTTGTTAATGATAAATATAAAAAACTGTTTAAGACCATTAAACAGTTTTTTATAATTATCATCATGTCATTGCTAGTTTGTGTTAGTATTCGTTACGGTATTCAATAGTTTTTGTTATACTTATAGCAAAATTAAGGTCCTCATAATTTTTTGTTGGCTTTTAAATACATCTTTTATCAACACTACTCTCAGTAAGAATGGAATATTTTCCTTAAAGAAGATTTTAAATTAATACCAAGATACTTCATGAATAAACCTATTTAATGCCTCGAATGATAATTATGTTTACTCTTTAATTTGATAATATTGCTGATTACTTATTTTTTAATATCGTTTCCATAGTTTGCCAATAAGACTTGGGTAAAGTAAAATTTATAACACTATTGATTCAAATTTAGTTTTACAAAAAAAAAAAAGCAATTAAACAATTTAATTACTACTTATTTGTAATTGAATTAAAAAATTTTTTCAAATAAAATAAGATTTTTTTTTAACATCTTCGCTTCCAACAAGGCTGTAAGCAACCACAATTAGAGTTAAAAGTTACTGGAAGAGAGAAAATGAAGTTTATAAAGCAAGATAACAATTGAAAGACGACTTAAAATATTTCAAATTATATGAATCAGGAAAGCAAGATGAAGTAAGCGAACTCCAAAGAATTAATGTTCGAGGAAAAAAACTAGACAAATAAGAGTTTTTAGAGCACTTAAGAACAGTCACGGAAAAAGGATGAGACTCAATTGAATGGCTAATCACACGCGAATAAATTTTAGTGGATAGCACAAGGGCGCTAGCTTTTTAGAGCAGTGCTTATTATATCATTTGTAGAAAAGAGAAAGAGAAGCAACATTACGACAAAGTGGTAATGGTCGGAGGTTGGTTGCAAGAACAGGTCCAACTATATTTACAATGAGTTTTTGCAACTTGCCTAAAATAGAAAGGGCATCATTGGAAGATCCGCCTCAGATGTGGCAACAATATTCCATACAAGGACGGATTTGAGATTTATAGAGATAAAGAATAGAATCCGCAGAAAGAAAGTGTTGAGCATGATAAAAATTAGCACCTTAGCATGTGCTAATTTTGCAATTATTGTTCAAAATGACAACAAAATAGCAGCGAGTGCATAATAAAAGTTTTCACGCTTTAGTGAAAAATCCTAATTTGCCTCTAAATAAATGAGATAAAAAGACACTACTATTTCGAATACATGTGTTGTATTAAAAATATATTTAAGTTTTATATAAATACGTAATTATCTAATTTATGTCATTTTAACATATTAATGAAAAAAAAAAATTTTTTCTATATTTTAATGTAACGTTTTACATTTTGTAATAATGTAATAATTTTTCACATTGCCATAAATTTGATTACTTATTTATTTTACATACATTTACATTATTTTACATTTACATAAATTAGATTACTGATTATATACCTATAAATTACATAAATTTAATTACTTATTTATAACTTTAATAAATTGTCGATACTTGTATTCCAAGTTGACGAATTTTAGAAATGGTTGGATGTTCAAAAAGGACCATGGTTAGAATTATTTAACATAGTGGTAACAACTTTTAATAGAAATTTGGTCAAAATTATGGCAAAAATGCATAACTTTCAGACAAAAGATCCAAATTATAAAGAAAAACCATTAAGTCAAGTATTTAAAGATATATAAAGTTGCGATGCTGAAAAAAATGATTATCACGAAGTTGTGCAGGAAAGTTATACAAATAATGTAAAAAGAAACCAAGTATAATTATCGATGATAAAACTCAAGTGAACTTAAATTTCAAAATAATCCCAGGACATTTATATAAGGGTTCTGCAGGTTAATGGCGAACACTAATTTTAAAACGATAAATCTGAAGAAATTCCTAAATAATATTATGATTTGGCCATATGTTAACGTTAAGTAAGTTTTAAGTTTTTTTAATTAATAGCGAAATTTATACAAAGTATGTAGAGTACTTAGAAAAACTGTTATTACTACTATGGTAGATGAACCCACAATCAGACTTGCCACTTTAATTTTTAAAGTTTTTTTTCTGAGTAAAGAACGTTTTCCCATGAGTTAAACTTATGAACTTTTCAATATTCTTTCCCGTTCCTCAACGAGATTATTTTCCTTACTTAAACACAATCTTTATATTTGACGTACTAAAACTTTTATTTTTATATGTATTGGCAAAATATTATAAAAAAAAAAATTTTTTTTTACAAAATTTCTAAAAAATACATAATTCCCCTGAATTTTATGGAAATTTTATAAAATCCCTGAGTTTTCCAGGTTTTCCCTGGGATCCATGCTACTTCCAGGTATTCCAGGTTGAGTGGCAACCTTGCACAATGGTAATGCGGTTTTTTGGACAAAGGCAATTACCATTCATCCAAATTCGTGGCAAATTTTGTCACTTTAGGCAATATCGGGAAATTATTAAAGGCTAATTACGTAAACCAGGTGCTTTAACAATTCACAGTATACAAACTGTTAAATTTTTGAATTATGTTGAATTATGTCCTTAAAGCTGCTTGCTCAACTCAGATATAGTTACAAAATTAGCAATGACAATAATAATTATAAAAAAACTGTTTGATGGAGTTAAGAGAAAGCAAAATTATTCTTACCTTGACGGTCTTGAATTCAACTTCATCACCAAAACTGTTTGCTAATGATCAATAAAGTAAATTTCAGTTCATGAAAATTTACTAAATCAAAACCATATTTCAACAGTAGTCGAACTAGTCATAAATTATGAAGTAGGGCAGAACTTTAAAGTTGAACTAAAAAAAATGATAAAAAATTTAATTTAATAAAAAAAGATTTTAAAACTTGCATTAAATAAAACAAAACAAAAACAAAAAAATATTATTACTTTAGAGTATAATAAGGGTTCTTAGCCACATATTTTATGTAATTTTTGCCAGAGATTTGTTTAAAACTAACACTTTTGAACTCTCACTGCATTCTAGTCATTAACATAATTTTTTTTGTTTGATTGTTTGCTAGGATTTTTAGAGATTTACTACAAAAAATGATCAAATGATTCAGAAGAATATAAACGCATTTAATAATAATAGAAACATTCATTTGAGAACTCCTTAGTTTGGATTAAATCTCGGAGGGATTAACAGTGTTAGAGTTTGAAACATCGTTAATAAATCTCTAAAATCAATCTTATCTTTATTTTAATGTTTCGGCATTGTTTCCTACTCTGTTTTGACATTAAAATTATTTAAATTAAAAATAAAACAAAGTTAAAGTGTCTCCTAAAATAAGCAGCTGCTCCAGAATGGCATCACAGTCCCGAGGATGATATTGACAATAGAAGTAGAGACTTAAAAGGTAAAATAGTCATTTTTAATGTCATATTAGTTAATTCTTTAATCAGTTTTTACTGTAGTCTAAGCCTAGTTGTTGAAGCAACAGTGTGGTGCCATGCAATTAACAGTGGCAAAAGAAGAAGTTTGCAATTTGGAGAAAGCTACAGATTAAGAAAAAAACAACAGTGTGCTTCCATTTAAAAAAAAATATTCTGTTGTCAATTAGAACTTGCCCTCCCTGGCAAGTTCTGATTGACAACAGCAAGACTTTGCACTCAAAAATCATTGGTGAATTATGCGCAGAATAGGAAATATCCATCCTCTTTTTTTTTTGCGCTCCCCTACAAAGCTATATTTTCCTGAGTGGACACCACACACAATTTCTGCCAAAACTAATAAGGAAGTTCTCCACAACTATACTGCCGCCCTAAGTAAAAACGCAGTAAACAACAAAAATGACATTCTGAGAAAAAGCCACTTTTAAATTTTGTGTGTATATATTTTTTTAACTTACGGCAAAATGAACTATGGGTTTGATGACTTCGGAATATACCACAATATTTTTATATAGAGCGTTATTACACAGAAAACGATGTTAAAACGTTTGGTGCAATAATCTCGATTTTTCAATTTTTGCGATTACTGCGTTTTTTCTTAGGACGGCAGTATACACAAGGACAAAAAGTATTTTTAAACCCACCTGATTTAAAATGTACGAGAAAATGGAACAGAGAAAGAATCTCATTAAGGACGAGGAGTTTTAACAGAAATCAATGGATTGCCAAGACACATGGACATTAAATTGCATTCAACTAGATGGTTATTCAAAAGTTCGGGTTACATTTAGGTTTATTACTTTCTTTCTTTTAAACAAATATCTGATGAACGTGTACAAGGCATTTCCAGAAATGTTTGCTGCTATTGGAAAAAGCAAGTCTGGCTATATAAACAATGAGCTTTTATAAGAATATAAATATCAAAAACTCATTTAGAAAATTTGGCATCTATCCCTTAAACACAGAACCCCCAGATTACTGCAAACCACTAAAAAAGGTTGAGCATTCAAGCGAGGTGTTTTTGCTTGAAGGTGAAAGATGGAAAGGTGAAACGAAACATCAAGTAGATCCCATTCAGAAAGTAAATGCTAGGACTCAAACCTTATCTGATAAATATTGCACTAATCTTATAGAATCACTGGGAGCAGGCACAACTTTAAAGTTGTAAGTTATTTTTGTTCTTCAAACTTTCAAGCTTTAATTAAAAAAATCAATATCCATGCAAACATTCAATCCATTTAAATTTGTACATATCTTTTACAGATGTTCATTTGGATGCGATGACTTGGTCATTGAGTGTTCTCGTTTAGAATCATTGCGTTTTATCACTAGAGAAAAATGATTAATCATTTACAAAAAAGAAATGCAGATATCAACGAGCCCTGTAGATGAAAGAAGCCACGTAGATGGTAATATTTATATTTCCTTTAAATTTTTATTAAATAACGTAGTCTACATTAAGTTACATGTATTATGTAAATGTTTACCCTGACACTCCAACTTAATATTGGTTTCTTGATTTTTAATTTCTTCTTTTATTTAGGCGTGACAGAGGAATCATTTTTACCTCCCCATGCCTTAATTCTATCAACATTGCTTTCTAAACAAAAAGTTATAAGCAAAGCCTTACTGCACCATAGATGGTTTCCATCACCAAAGAAGACTGTTCCTAAAGTTAGGATAGTAGCTCGAAAACTCCATGCAACATCTGTCTTGACAACACCTTAAGTAGTTTCTTTGTTAGGGGATATCCAACAAAAAAAAAAAAAAGAAAGATAATATTGCTGCCAAAGAAGGTCACAAACAAGTACAATTGACAAATGCAGAAAAGAAAAAAAACACACCTACGGCTGTTGTTAAAAGAAAATTAAGCTGTGATACTAAGAAAAGCACAAAATCAAAGCAGAAAAACAATGCAGGCTATGCGATGAATAAAAACTGCGCGACGCATAAGCACGACGTGATTTTTGATGTCATTAAATTCATTTTATTTGCTTTTCATATTTATCGACATTAACTGCACCAATTTACTTAGTTATCGCAAAACTACTTTAAATCATTAATGTAGAAATGTTATTATTTAAAAATGTTTTGGAATGTTTCGTTTTTTAAAATGTAAAAACATTTGTTTATTTTCTCGACGTTTGACACGTTTTGTCTATACTAAACGAAAAGAAAACATTATAACTAAACATTTAAAAAAGATTATTAAATATGCTAATATTTGATTTTTTTTTTTTCAAATAAGTAATTTAAAGTTTTTTAAATAATTATTTTCTTTTTAAAAAGTCAAGTAATAAACTGGAAATTTTAATATTGTACGATTAAAAACTGTGCAATAGCTAATATTTTTGGTAGGCTCTCTTGTCAAACCCCTATTCCGACGTTGAGCGTCCTTTGCGTCCGCGAGCTTGTATTTCTAGAAAATAGGCGAAATGGGGTATATAGGGATTTGCGCTGCGGTGTGCACATACACCGACTGATTTTTAGAGAGAACATGCAGCGGAGTGTGGAAACAACGACTGAGGGTTTGGAGTAGGCAGGTTCTCTTTTAAATAAAAAAGTCGTTTTTTAACATTTTCGGACCTTGAGGACAGCGTCGGAATAACGGTTTGACAAGAGAGCCTACCTTAGACCATATAAACTGATAGACACGGCGTTTTCTGAAAAAGTTGAAGCCAAAATATTTTTCGCGTATGACGTCACTTTGTGGCAAAAAAACGCAAAATAAAAAGGATTTTAGTTAAGTTTTTAAACCGAACTTGTTCTTAAAAGAACTCTTAAGAACTTTATGAAAGAAAGTTTAATCCTTCTATAGAAAATTATTTTATTTTTTAGGATTCATTTTCTAATAAAGACTAATTCTAATAAAAATCAATTACTAAACAATTTCGTTAAGCCAAAAACTTTTAAATTAATGAAAAACCCTCGATCTTATTGGACGGTAAAAATAACAAAAAGTTAAATGTATATGTAAATATATATACTATTGACCACAAAATAAAAAACTCTTAGTTAATTTACTTCGTAGTTTTTTTGAATGTTTATTTAAAGTATCTGCTTGGTGGTATAACCTAAGGTTACAATAATAGAAGCTAATCATTTTTACTAAATTGACCAAATGATTAGATTGAACATCATTGTCAAACATATGATCTCTATTATCAATAAAAATAGAACTGCGAACACTGTTAAGAATATTAATAATCAATTTTGTCATTATATTTTTTTGAAACATCCTCTTTTCTTCCTGAAAAATTCTAGTTTCACTTTCTGCAAGTTTACATATGTGAATAAAATGTCACAATATAAAACCTTTTTAACTTTTTTTACAACAAATCCAGCAATATATCGACAACATCAGACACATATAACAATAATTTTCTTGAATAACTCTGTCATTTAGAGCATATGCATGGTCATCAGAATTAGTTTTTTTTTATTTCAAAATCTTCAATGAGCTGATGATCAATTGTTTTCATTTTAACATTTTAATGTACTCATTGCTAAAATTATCGATGGTGCTTGCTCAATGCAATTGGCTTGAGAAGAACCTGAAACACTTGTGTGCATTAATAATTTTTTGTAGGCAGCTTGAAATTGTTTTGCTGTGAGATCATTTGTAAGCAGAAAGATACCTTAAACTACTATTGCTATTTTGAACATAGTCATTCCATATTCCCATAAAAGACTTCAGGCCAATAAAGCCTGTTTTTCTCTAACTTTAATGTATAGGCCCTCGATTGTTAGGACATTTAAGACTAAATATTCTATTGACTCTTTTATTTTTTTGAAAATAGCTTCTTTATTTTGTTGTTGTAAACTAGCTTTAAAACTTTTAGCTAATAAATTCCTGCTATTTAAAATGTCAAATATGTTACTAATATTATAGATTAATTTTTCTGTTGCTTTGCTGTTTTCAAAAGCCTTAGAGTACTGACTTTCTCTTAAATATTCTATTGCTTTTGCAACTTTTTGACTAAATGTTTGTGCAGCCAACTTGACCTTAATTTTTTCTTGAAACCAATTTGTCTTTTTGTAAGTTTTGTTGCTAAATGCAGCCCTTCCTTTTCTTGAATAGCTACTAACTTTTCAACATAATCCCATTTTATTGGTTAATTATTAGAATCAAACATTATTTTGTGCAAACCAAAATTATTTCTTGTCAGTTTTAACATGTGTGGAGAATCCATTATAATGTAAACTGGCTTTTTTGTAACTGGATGTGAAAAGCATGTGCAAGTAGAGTTAACAGAAAAATCAACTCCAAGATGATTAGCCATACTAATATTAGACGAAACACCATCAAAAGTTAAACTTGTTATAGTAATTTCAACTTCGCTTAATATTTTTAAACACATTTTTACCAAGTAACTCTTTTGAATTGCTGAGATTTCATTAATTAAAAAGTAGCTGATTGGTAATTTCCACAAATCATTTAATTCCAAGTATAGCATCTTTTTTAAGTTGCTTTTTTGAACTCCAACCACAAAATGCTTAGAACAAATTGCAACAATCCATTTATTACATATTGCAACAATCCATTTATTCCGAATTAATAAATCTTCTGGAAATCTACAATATAAAAATATTTCATAAATAAAAACAAAACAAATTATAATTAGTGTTTATACATAATTAAAATTTTTAAACAAATACCAACTGATATTACTGTTTATTAACAACGTTATAGCAATTATTAACATGTTAATAATTGTTTAAACTCCAAAATCAGAAATTAAAAATTTAAAAACAAGATTTTATAAACAGTATGCTAGATTTTAGTAATTTTCAACTATAACTATAACTTATGCTTAGGGTTTTGAATACATATAGACTATTACTAACAGTCTGTGGGTAATATGTATGGTGTAAACATAATAGGTTGAATGTAATATGTATGGTGTAAATATAATATAGTGTAAATATAATAGGTGAATGGTAAATGTTACCATTCATCAAAACGTATTTAAAACCCAAAGCATGCTTAGCATTAACATTGTTGTGTAGCATGATGCTTCACAACAGTGTTGTATGTATGCATGGAAAGTATGGAAATAACTTTAATAAGATGTCATTCCTATGACATAGGATTCTAAGATTCGTGGTAGATAAAAAAATATCATAATATCATTATGTGTCATTATTATTGGTAAATACATTGTGTTGTCAACACAATGTATTTACCAATAATAATGACACATAATGATATTATGATATTTTTTTATCTACCACGAATCTTAGAATCCTATGTCATAGGAATGACATCTTATTAAAGTTATTTCCATACTTTCATAGGCTATGACTCAAAATTATTAATTATATGATATTAAATTATTTTTTATTTATTACAAATTCTTACCCATGAATTGATATGTCTGAACCATTTTTATATCTTTCTGTGCAGTTGTATGCACTGCAAGAATGCACCATAATTAAAATTGATTTAAAAAATGAGATAAATGTAACAGCGAACCCTTTTTTAAAAAATGTTTTTTGCCACAGAGTGACGTCACCGCACAAAATTTATTTTGGCTTCACTTTGAGATGAGTTTTATTCAACTAGCGCCGTGTCTATCAGTTTATATGGTCTAAGGAGCCTACCAATATTTTTACTAGCGATTTTATATTTTTTTTTATTTATTTGTTTTTATATATTTTATAAAGCGGTTGATAAGCACAATCACTCGTATTACTAAAAAACTTTAACGAAAGTTTTGAATAGATTTTTAATGTTTACAAGGAATTTTATTTTTGGTAAAATAAAATAAAATATTAGAATAAAAATCGTATAGGTATAAAAAACATATTTCAGCGAAAAAATTATTCTTAACAATTATTATTAAAAATAATTCGAAAAACTATTGACGTTCTATTTTTCAGCAGCTGTTCTTGAGCGTGCTTCGTTGAGTATCGGTAACTTAACAAAAAAGCGATTGTTATTATTTAAGTAATTTTTTTCGAGTTACTTTTTACAAAAATTTTAATAGCTGTACTTTTTTTATTGAATCAAGTATAATACGTTTTAATATTAATTCTTTTGGATTTTTATTTGCATTATCAATTTTTAAAACATTTCCTCGAAATTACTCTTAAATACTTTAAATACGTCTAACAGTTAATAAATATTTTTAAATCTATGGAATAATTTTAAAACCTAACAAACCCACGTAAAATAATTATTTAAGTTAAAAATCTAAAGCTAAAAGAAAGCATTTTTGTTCAATTTTATAGACAACTTTGCTATTGCTGAATAATTTTATTAAAATGTTAGCTTGAAAAGATTTCAACTTTTTTTTTAATCTGAATTTTTTCTACTTGTAAATAAGGAACATATTTAATTTTTTTGTAATTCAAACTTTTATATTTTTTTTATGCGGCAAATAGCCCTAGCTACACGC